CCCGCCGTGGCTCGGCGACGTGATTGCCGATGTGATTGGCGTCGTGCCGCGGCGCTGGGACGAGGTTGGCGTCTCGCCGTGGCGCGCCGGTTGGCATCGTGCTGGAGCGCTGGTGCCATCTAGCGCCTGCCAGACCGGCCACGGCACTGCCTGGAGGACGTGGGACTGTATTCCCACCGTTGTCACCCACCGACCTCCTCTCCCTGCGGGGAGAAACCGGACTGCGTGTCCCCGGAGGGGTGCCGGTGGCCGCAGCTGATGGCTGAAGGCAGCGATGCCCCAGGTTTGGTGCTGGATGTGGGGTGGGCTTGGCTGGGAAAGGTCCTGAGATGCCACCTGCCCTTGGGTCCCTTCTGTGGGCATCCCTTGGTTTGCTTAGATGTTATCCAGATGGAGAATGAAGGAGGTGCTTCTGGAGGGTCTCACCCCCACGTGCTTTTGCCCTCGCCACCCTCCCGCAGGTGCCATGGAGATCCAGGTCCCAGATGAGCCCGTGGTGGCTCTTTTTGGCCGAGACGTCACCCTGCGCTGCTCCTTCTCCCCCGAGGCCAACTTCAGCCTCGACGACCTGAGCCTCATCTGGCAGCTGACGGACACCAAACGCTTGGTCCACAGCTTCTCCGGTGGCCAGGACCAGCTGGCAGACCAGGGCGGGGGCTATGCCAACCGTACAGCCCTCTTCTACGACCAGCTGGCCCAGGGCAACGTCTCGCTGCTCCTCCGGCGCGTGGAGATCTCGGATGAGGGCAGCTTCACCTGCTTCGTCCGGGTCCGGGACTACAGCAGTGCAGCCGTGACGTTGCAGGTGGCAGGTGAGAGATGGAGAGTTGGGGTGTCCTTCCATGTATTCCCCAAAGAGAAGGGTTCTCCATCGTGCTTTGGTCCTTCATGGAGCCTCTTTCTCTCTCCACTCGTGCTGTGGTCTCCCCAAGAATTCAGCTCTCTGTTAGAGACCGACCAGCTGCATCTCCCTAAAATATTGCTGGTGAGGAGTGTGGTCCCTTCCTTGCCATGATGGAGAGGCTCTCAGTTGAGATGCCACCTGGAAGGATGGTCATAAATGAACCAAAGCTGGGGAGGCTTCAGCTGGTTGGTCTTATCAGCTGGAAGAGTTTGTCCTGGGGTTGCCCAGTCTCATTGGGTTGCTCCAGATCCTGATGCTTTGGTCGTCTCCATCGCTTCATGCCGGCTGTCCTCTCCCTTGCAGCTCCCTACTCCAAGCCTAATATGAACCTGGAGCCCAACAAGGACTTGAAGCCAGGAGATCTGGCGGCCGTGACTTGCCATGCTTCCCGGGGCTACCCCGAGGCCAACGTCTTCTGGCAGGACAGCCGGGGCAGCAACATCACTGAAAACGTCACCACGTCCCAGGTGGCCAACGAGGAAGGTCTCTTTGATGTTCACAGCGTCCTCCAGGTGCTGGTGGAGCCCAGCAGCACCTACTCCTGCCTGGTGCGAAACCCGGTGCTGCAGCAGGAGACCCAAGCCTCCGTCACCATCACAGGTGAGCGAGCGAGGGCCAAAATTGGGGGAAGGAAGGGATGAGCTCTGTCTCAAGAAGGTGACCACGGTGGCACCGGGATCCCTACTGTGGCCCAGAGCCACCCTGGGGGTTGCTACCCCGTATCCCCGTTCTACCTCTCTCCCCATGGACCTCCAAGGGTGACTTGGGGCTGTGCTGTCCTCCCTGTCACCCCACGCCAGCGTCCCAGCTAGAACTAGCATCCTTGGTTCTTAGTCTCTAGCTTTCCTAGTTGTCCCGTCCAGGTCTAAACCACCCCCGAATGCCAGGACAGGGCACGGTAGTTGTCTTCTCCTTAGCACATGGCCATGGGATGCTCTCGATTTGGGGTTCTCCATCCCAGCTGCGACAATCCTACTTCAGAAATACAGGCTGGAGCAGTTCATCAAACTCGTTCAGCCTCGCCGCTTTGCTCCGAGCTCCTCCCGCTGCCCTCCTGGAGCTCTTTATAACCCCGTGCGCTCCCTCGTAGCGTTAATTAGTGTTTAATTACCCTTGGTATGACACTTGCTGAGTGGGGAAGGTGGGTCCCCGGTGGAGCATAAACTTTTTGGCTGGATGCGCCCCAAACTCTTGCAGGAGAACTTGCGTGGATGCTGCTGGGTGGGGGCAGAGGGGTGGCTTTTGCATGGGGTCCCAAGAGCGAGAGCAAATTGTCACCCTGGGGGGGTGACGTTTGGGGCAAGACTCTTTGAAAAAAGGAGCAGAGTTACGGGGAAAAAATCGTATTTCCAGCACTCTAGGAAATATCCCCTGGTCCCCGTCCTTCCCCATCCTGTGGCGTTGAGATGAAAGAGGAGAAGGAAGCGGGTGGAGCATCATCTAACGCTTCTCTTGAGCTTCTTAAAGTGAAGGGTCAGCCTGCCGTTTGAATTTATAAGTGCAATTATTTAAAGGTTAATTAAGTATTTTAGGGAGTGACTCAAGACCTGCTGGGGGAGACGGTCATTAGAGGCGCTGCCGGTTTTATTTCCAAAGCCACCCCTTAGCGCCGCCGACTCTCTCCGTGGGGACGTGTCCCTGCCGCCGCGGAGTCCTGGCTGGCAGGGATGCGTCCCCTTGGTCCGGCGGCGATGCTCACTGCGGTGGTATTTCTCTTCCCCCCCCACCCCAACCTCCTCTCCTTCCTTTCAAGGCCAACACCTCGCCTTCCCCGCCGTGGCTCTCTGGGTGACGGTTGGACTCGCCGTCTGTGTCGTGGTGCTGCTCGCCGTCCTGGCGTACGTGTGCCAGAAGAAAATCCGTCAGAGTTGCGAGGAAGAGGAAGAAAACGCAGGTAACGTGGCGGCTGTCACACCAACCCCCCCCCCCAAAAAAAAAAGGGATGGGGTTTGCAGGGGGTGACGGATGGATGGAGCCAGAGGAAATTTTAACTGGCACAAGTTTGCCTTGGTGGTGGCATCTTTCAAAGGATGAAGGGATGCTCGGAGCCGCTGGGGTTGGCGGGCCACCAGCAGATCCGTACCAGAGAGCCCACGCCGGCTGCACGTGTTGCTCCGGGGCGGCTCTTTCAAACATACGCCTGAGTTTTCCTCCCGCCCAGCATCTCTTCCCCCTTTCACCTTCCTGCTCCGAGCATCCTCTGCGTGTCCGGTACCCGCAGCCGGGTGTGCGTGGAGCATCTCCTTCGAGAAGACGCCTCTCGCGCTTGCTGCCGTGGCAATGCCGAGCGCTTTGACACGCAGAAAGAGCACGAGAGAGATGCTCCGTGCTCTTGTTTTCTGCATCCTCCTCCTGTTTGTGGTTGGCTTTTTTTGATGATGATGATGATGATGATGATGATGATGATGATGATGATGATTTACTACCACCACTATGTTTTTCTGTCATATTAAACTTCTTTATCTCAATCCATGAGTTTTACGGGTTTTTTCCGATTCTCTCCCCCACCCCACCAGCTGGGGGGAGTAAGCAAATGGCTGTGTGGTTGTTTTTTCCCCCGCCAGCGGCGTGCTGCAGGGCCGGGACCCGCAGCCTCCCTCCCCGGCGGGGGGGGTCCCGCTTCGTGCCACCTCTCTCTGCCAGGGTGGACGGCGGTGCCACCACGATCGATGCTTGGCTGTCGGGTGACCGAGAGGGTTTTTCCTTGGCAAAT